GTGGCTGCCGCCTTGCGTGCCTCGACATATCGCACGCGTGTAGATGGCTCCTTGTTTCCAAGCCATTCCTGTTTGAAGGCATTTATGTCTATAATGCGAACAATGCCAACTTTTCAATTGGCTTTAATATTACATACAGCGAAAACGTTGTTGAACTGTTTGAACAAATTATAATGTTCACATCAAAATAAAGCAGACACCGTCATTTTGACAGGATTTTGCGTGTCAACTGTGTGACTGCACTGCAGCCTTCAGTGATGGCAATTATGACAATGACAAAGAACATATGTATTCGTTGAACATCAGCTTTATCACTGCCAGTATATGCAAGGACTCGTTTATCTGCAGTCCTATGTAAGACTGGACGTTGTCCATTAAAGACGTTAGTGATGGAGGTTTACGGTTTACTACAGGACCGACAGAACATTGGGCGATATTTTATTTAAACAATGTATGCCCATTAGTAGCACTGAAACAGTGTTATCTACGAAGTTCAGTGCAGAGACTGCGACTAACTGTACTGGAAATTGAAGATCATGATGAAAGAGCACCTTTCGGCGGTACGCCTTCGATGGAAGCTGACAATTCCGGCACTGTCCATCATGCGATTACTGAAGAGTATTCTTTCAGTCAGACCAATGTATCTGTTACAGACAAAGATCAATCCAAACTGAGTCTAAGCGTAAAGGAGTCTTTACATAAACTGGTAATGAAAAACCGAATGTGCAACGAATACGCATCTTGTGTTGTCATCAGCGAAAGCTGGGGAGGAATCACAGAAATGAAACTCAAAATCATATCAAAATGTGAAAGATCCGATTTACTTTGATACGAATATCATACTCCGTTAAGACAGTGCAACATAGTCTTGACTGTATGTGATGAGCCAATTGAATAATTGGTATTGTTCGCTTGTTGAACATAAACGCCTTCAGTGAGTCAATTGTACTCAGTCCAGCCCTGACGATGCAACGATTTATGCAGCAAAACGCGTTGGCATCACTCTGCTTATCAACTGATGCATTTGGTGCCCAATCGATGAATCATTCACACAACCATGTAGGACATCCATTATCATAACGCAAAATCGGTGTAAAGTAAGAAATAGATTATTCTTCTTTAAAGTGTGCATTTTTGCCGTTTTAATCTGCTATCACAACTGTTTATATCAGAGGTAATTTTTAAACCTCAAATCCAGGCAGCACTTAAATTGCTAGTTACTAGTCGGAAACTAGGAGCAGTTCGTTCGAAATAGCGTTGAAGCCACTGTGAATAAACGACAGTCTACTTACCTTTTGGGCTTGAACATTATAAACTGTGTGAAAAAGTAATTAAAATTTGAAATAGAGAAACGTAACGGCTGATATGTCAAGATCAGAATATAAATATATAATACTTACTACGCTCATCGTATTCATGTCTTCCCATATTTCTGCTGACTTGATAATTTCTAATGGGGCGTAAACTTCAACGCTGCTGATATCACCTCTTGGCGGTTCAGGGCGTTTCGGCAAAAATCCCCCACCTCCGCCACGACCTCGTCCACCGCCGTAGCCTGTGAAAAACAAATTAATGAACGAAGCCAAAATTATTAAACTTTAAAAACAAAGTCAACGAAAAATGGCTCTACGCAAATCTAGTAAATATAAACAATTTAATATCTTTTACATGAAAACTACTTAAATACTATTCATACACAAAGCAAAAAATTTGGCGACTGATCATACTGTTCACGCTGCGTATCAACACACCGTGTGACCACTCACCCAACAAGTAATATTCTGTACATTAACCGTTAGTATGATTGGGTGTCTCGTTCTTACGTTAGTAATAGCAGTGAAAACTGTATAAAAACGGCTTATTTGTAAACAACGCAAGCAAATTAGTCAGTCGGTCAATCATCAATAAGGACGTTTCGGTTCTGTATGAAGGGCGTTCTTCAGGGTGGACAGGGTCGGTTTTCACACTTAGCTATGTTCGAGTTGCGAAACAAAGAACGAACTGCACAAATAAACCCTTCCAACCAGAAAGCCCTTGAGAAAACGAGCCGAAACAACGGTATTAGTAAATCACTAGATTCACGGATTTGCTTCCGTTCTGCATAAGTAAACCGTTTTTACACATTTTTCACTTTCTTTCTGAAGAAACTATAATAAATTTGCAATGAGCAATACGACAGAAACATGGCAATAATTCCAGTGTTTAGCACTGCATTATAATAAATCTTTATTAACCTTTACCAAAATGAATCATACCACATAATTTTAAATATCTTAGAATTAACTCACTTAGGAAACTCCTGAAAATAATCATTTTAAATTTTTGAAGTTTATTGAGATTTCAGTTTTGGTTGTAATTCCTGTGCTGGACTTTTGTAATGCTGACTGAAAGACACTTTTCAATACAGTGACAAAAACATTTCTGTCGTTCGTCAGAGTAAAAGCTTCTTACTTCCTTTCTAAGTAGTTACCTTAAAAGGATATTTTCCTGAACTACGGACGGAAAATGGATTGCCGATCGTTAAAAGGTTAACATCAAAATGTCCGTTTCT